TGTGCCGTGCCATGTCATGTTGTGCCATTGTGCCAAAATCCGGTCTGCCCTGTCCGTTCTTGTAGTTTACCCTCTCTTAAAACTCCGTTGAAGACAAGTGTACAAGGCCGTCGATGCCTCGCGGGTTATAGGAGAATAAACTTATTTCTCCTCCGATTTGATCAGCGGAGAATTCCAAGACGAGGTAAGGAGTCGTATGTGCTGGGAGGTTAGGCATTGTTAGGTGAAAACGTTTACTCTCGGGAGATATCCCGACCATAGAGCTTCGCCTTGACCCAGTCAAGGGCGACAAGGACACGGTTGCGTGCTAGAAATTTTGTCAGTGTTATTCATATAACATAGCGTTTTTAAGATAGAGTGACATACTGCTAAAGCACATGCTCAAGTAAGCGCTTCGCCAGAAGAGGTAAGTGAGTTTACCGCCGGATGCGACATTGCCGTTCAACCAGGCGACATCGGCGACAGCCTTCTCGCTACCGATGTAGGCCAAGCTGCCTTGGTGCGAGTAGTGGAAAGGCTTGATGTCCTTGATACGGCGGAGCTGCTTCTCGAGGCTTTCGATATGTTGCGCGTCCTCTGCCGTATTGCCAGGTTTCAGGTTCAGGCCGGTGCTTAGGTCGTGGATTTTCTGCTCTAGATCCTGGGTCTTGGCCATGTTGTTAAAGAGTCTAGCCAGGAAAGCACCCTCTTGAGAGGCGACTTGGGCGGTGGGCGCGTATCCAGCGACGGCGCAGTCACCAACAGCCCAGATGTCTCTTGTTCCTTGGACAACAAGGTACTCGTTCACAGCGAGACCGCGCCTAGAGTCCTTCTGGGCGGGGATCTGGGACATGAGGGTTTTGACAACCGGGCGTAGTGTGTTACCCGTGGCCCACACGAGGAGGCCGTACGGGATAGTAACCGTAGACTTCTTGCCATCAGGACCAGTAATTTCAGCTTCGACCGTCCTATCGGTCACCTTCTTAACCATAGTCTTAGTCATGATCGTGATGTGCTCCTCCTTGAAAGTACTTTCGGTGTAGTCGATGAGCTGCTTGCTGAACATGGGCAGGACATTGGGCAGAGCCTCGATGAGAGTCACCTTGAACCGCGGAGCAATCTCGGGGATTAGCTTCTGGATATCATCATCGAAGAAATCTCGCAGTTCTCCGGCGAACTCAACACCGGTGGGACCACCACCGACAACTACCATGTGAAGAAGACGGTCGACCTCCTCTGGCGCTTGGTCTTTGAAAGCAGCAGTCTCGACACAATCCATGATCTTGGTACGAATGGCCTGGGCATCACGGATCTCCTTCAGGAAGCAACTGTGCTCACGGACACCAGGAATGCCAAAGGTAGCATTCTCAGCACCCACGCCGACAACGAGGAAATCATAAGCAACCTCGGTCGAGTTGATTTTACCCTTGATGTCACTGTTGTCGCTGATCTTGACGACCTTCCTCTCAGTATCAATATGGGTCGCCTCAGCTTCGTAGAACTTGGCATGAGCTTTCTTGTGGCGCAAGATCTGGCGCACGGGTTCCATGATGGAGCGGTGCTCGATATTCCCGGTAGTACATGACGGCAGCAGAGGTGTGAAGAGGAAGTAATTGCGCGGCGAGATGACAATGACATTGTAGTTAGAAGTATCGAGTTTCTTGAGTAAGGCAACCGAACCCCAGCCAGTACCTTTGAGATAGGGTCAGTTGTAGAAATAGACAAGAGGTTATTGGTATTTATGGCTCACCGAGGATCACCAATGTCTTCTTGGAAGGATCAGGAGTGAATTGGTCCTCTGGATTACGGTCCGTGTAGCCATCGTAAATGACAAAGCCAACACCACCAAGAATAGACAGATAGGTGAAGCGCCATAACCACCTGAAGGTAGTACGAATTCTGCGAGGCTTCTTTACCGGCTTCGTCGAAGTGGGAGGTGCATCGGCGTAGGACCTAGTGAATTGGCGAGGGATTGTCGTCGCTCTTCGGGATCTTGCGACAATGGTGGAAGGGGAGATTATCTTCTTCGGACATGACGTCGTGCTGAAGTTGATTCCCGGCGCATTCGTGCGTGCGGTTAGCTGTCTAGCAGCTGGGCCAGTAAAGCGACTCAAGGCCCTCGAGGAGGACGCCATCAGGTCCTAGCTATCGGCGAAGAAACCGGGAGTGACGAAGGGATGAGGGGAGATGTACAGAGGCTTAGGAGAAGTAAGAGAGGTAATAAGAAAAATTTCGGTGGAGCGGGAGTTTGTTCGGAGGATCAATTGAGATAAGAATAAGAAATCTTGCTGCACGAAAATGGGTTTAGTAAATACTCGTCACCAATTGGCACTAGAGAATTGACATGGATGAGAGAAAACGTGAGGAATTTTTAGATTTTTTTGTGGTTGCTTTGATAGGAAATGAGCTTCAGCTGCTGCAGGAGAATGACGACTCTAGACCCGGTAACTCGGAATTTCCTTATTTATTCACCAACCTAAACCAGATATAGATAAGCTTAACTTAATTGAAGGTAGCTCTGTTTTAATAAACAATAAATTGAGGTATTTCTTCTAACATTCACACATTGCTTTATCGGACAACAATATTCTTCATTTACAATGCTGAATTGTTGGGATCTTTATTGAGAAGCGTCAATATGACTCAGCAGTTAGCTACCTATGTATGTACCTACTAATTGTCTTAGCTTAGATGCAGAGGCATGCATACATATCCGATAATCCCCGGGTACCGGACATACGGGGTTCCATCTGTCCAGCCGGACTTAAGGGTAAGAGCTATAAGGATTTCACTAAGATACTCTAGTATTTGTGATTATTCTGAATTTAATAGCCGTAGGGTTTATGCGACTTGGTCCGCCGTTCATAGCCATATAGCATTCATTCATAGTAAGCTATTGGAGCTGAATCCAAGCATGAAAGCTGACCTCACATCCTAACCGGAATCAAGTTGAGCTGTGGCACCTCAAGACTATGCATGGGTACACACAACAAAAACCCGGTTCGGTCAACAACTTTACGGGATTCCGTATATGCATTCCCTTTCAACATTAATTCTAATTTATACCATACTCATTACGGGGCTGTGAGTATCTCACTGTATCCCACACTCAACAACATGAGATTTGACAGTTCGGAAATTCAAGCCCGATTATTGTTCAGGTCTCACCTCCGATGTACCTTCAAACCATACTCCCTGGTCCTTTTCAACTTTTCCGCCATCCCGCCAGTTGACCCACTTTTGTATACGCCACCAAAATATTACAGGGGGTAATGCGCTGTAACCACTAGAATTACAGTGAGTTATAGCGCATACTCCATTATTATTATATATTAATTTTTAAAAAATTCTAAAATAACCTTATATGTATAAGAAGGCTTCAGATGTAAATAATTTTAATTCTAATGAACTAATGCGCGAGTTATGCTGAAAAAAGGAGTGGTCATTTTTATAGGGAATTATAGCGTATGCCCCTCTATAATATTCCCTATAACTATAGCGATTACAGCGTATATACTCCCTATAAAAATGGCTATTACAATTCTCAACATAACTCACGCAATAGCTCATTAGAATTAAAATCATTTATATCTTAAGCCTTCTCATACGCATAAGGTAATTCTGGAATTTTTTAAAAATCAATATTCGATAATTTCTTTTGACCACTAAATTATAGGGAGTATGCGCTGTAATTCCAGTGGTAATAGCGCATACTCCCTGTAATATTTTCGTGGCGTATATAAAAGTGGGTCAACTGGCGGGATGGCGGATTCGATGGGAATGGTCCTGGGTCCCATAGCCTTTGGCAATTCTTACTATAGCATGGGCAAGAACTTCAACTAGTTGTCAAAACACATGCCAATTGCCTTTTTTTACTGATGCCGAGTAATTAACAGCATTACACTTGACGCATCACATGCGTACACTAGGACAATATCCTCGGGATTACACATGCTTTTGGTTTTAGTATGTGTAAGTCACAGCAGCGATGATAGCACCGTCAATTGAAGTATACAATACCTTAATATTATAAAACATGACATGATACAGGTAGATTAATTTATACGTGCCATGGGAGCCCGGGTACTAGACTTAGGGGTTGTGCTACAAAGCGGCCGGCCAATATACCTACTTAGGTACCTACTATTAGGTATTCAGAGGCAACGTGAGAGCCATCGTATCGTAGTCCATACACCAATCTCACCAATCCCAGCTTTCATTGCTTTACCTAACTTCCCAAAAACCGTCTCGCATATCCCAAGCTTCAAATTATATTCTACCTATTAGCACGGGTGCCTGCCTATGTACTCTTCGGGACTCGGAGACACCGTCCCCACACTTCCCCGACCTTCGCCCGGCCATCCACCGAGCTCTCTATGTATCTCTCTACTCTCCTCCATATTCCACCAGCAGCAGCGCCTATTCCAGCACCACCTCACCTAGTCTACCATCCACCATGTCCTCCTCCACCACCCCTTCAACCTCCCCTTCAACCAAATTCACAAAATCCTTCACACTAACATTCTTCGCGCCCCCCTCCGCAGTCCCGGCCTGCAAAGCAGCCGTGTTCGCCGCGGGCCAGGGGCGGTACCCGGGGCGGTGGCGGCGCTGAAGCGGTAGGTTGGGTGCTAGTCTGTCTGTCTGTCTGTCTGTCTGTCTGTCTGTCTGTCTGTCTGTCTGTCTGTCTGGCGGGCTGTTCTGTTTGCTCTTTCTCTCGTTAGAATTCTGCGATGCGGGGGATATCTAAGCCCCAGGCATTCGTCGTGATCCCATCTTAGTCGTCGTGGGTAGTCCCGCTTACTAATACAACCCATTCCAGAGCTCACCCGTACGAGGAGCCGGCGTACCAAGTCGTCAAGCTAGAGGACTACTGAGCGTGGGTGTGTGCATAGCTCCCCCTCGAGCGAGCAGGAGATACAAACAAGAACCTGAGGTTATATGAGCAATGACGCTTTGGCCCTGGTGCTATGTAAAGCGAGTCAAGAACAACCAATTACCAGTGCACAACAACACGTTACAAGGCCTGCTTGGCACAGCGGTATGCGCCTCTAGTACAGCAGAATCTGTTTGCTTGCTACCGTGGAAGCGATGAGGAGATGACTGGTTCGACTCCAGTAGTGGGCATTTCTTTTGCACTTTACACGTGCTATCTGGTTCTTATTCATGTGAAGCATTTTGCCATTGCCCTACGTAATATCAAGCCGTACCATCATCATTCGTACCAAATGTCACCACACCACACCACGCGAACGGAACAGAACAAAACGCATCATCAGCAACCATGTTGCCCTTTCACTAAGTAATTCAAACGCCTGCTACTTGCATTGCTCTTGCTCTTGCTCTTGCTTTACAAACCGAGGATGAATTTTTCTTTTCGTTTCGTAGCACTCGTATCGGAAGTGTAAGAACCGCCTGGCCTATATAAATACAACAAACAAGCCAGACCAGACCAACAAAAAACCAAGCCGAGCCGCCCCGGCCTAGCTAGCTCTCCCCCGACCGAATCATAAAAAAACAACCGACTACCTGCCCGGCGTCGACGCCGGCATCTCGCCGTACCTGCCCCGATGTCTCGTCGTGTCGTACGCGTTTATCACGCGCGTCTGGCTCTCGTCCGCTTGCGAGAAGGCGTAGCCGCGTTGCTTCCTCATGCGCTGCACCTGGCGAACCTTTCGGATCGCCTTCTGGAACTGCTCCATCCTGTTTCCCCCACGTTAGCTAGTTGTCACAGACGGGATGATATGAATATTGTAAGAGCTTACCTCGGCCGGTAATCCTGGATGTTGTACTTCTGGATCTCCTGAATGTGGTGGTACGTCTGCGGGTAGTACATCCTCTTGGCGTATTTCCAAGAGAAGTCCCGGAGGAGACATAGTATGGGCAGAGTAACCGTCTGGAGCCAGAAGACAGGATTCGTGAAGAGCTTCGGTACTAATCCGTCGTATTCCTTGGAGAATCCGAGCATGGGAGCGACCACTGCGTAGACAACAACAAAGACGTACCAAATCACCATGCTGCCCGGGATGGCCATGACGTGGTACTTGGTCCAGTTGTTCGTCACCAACGCCGCTTTCCCAAGGACAGTGGCAAGGGTAGCCGCATACAAAGCCGTACCCCAAACCCAGTGGCCTGCCATTGTACCGTCACCTAACTTAAGATCGCCGTACCAAATCAATTCGGAGAAGACGTATAGAATGGCAGAGTGGTATATGGCACTTGCGATCCATGCTCCAAAAGTGCTAACCTTGAAGAACTGGTTCTGTTGTCCTAGTGTGTATAATTGGGGGTATCGGTCAAGTAGTCGGGCAGATATGAATTGGTCTAGGATACCCATAACGAGGGGTGGAAGGACAGTGTAGAAGACGTTGTAGAAAGATAGAGTCCAGGATTCATAGATAATAGCACCTGAAAAGACGTTTTGGAATGTGTACTATCGATATGTTAGCATTAGTCATCGTTGCTATTCTCAAGGGCGCTGTGTGGAACGATGCGCCAGAGAAGTAAGGGGTGCTGATGAGAATATTCAACTAACCCAGAATTGTGTCATGTATAAAGTAATGTTCTTGTAGAAAGAGAAGAGAATGGTTTTGCTGATACGTTGATAACTCCAAGCGCCGTGGACGAGGGTGAGTTTACGGAGGAAGCGGAACTGAGCGATTGATATATCTGCCGATCGGGCAGCTTGAAGACCTTCGACACCTGAAATACCCACTCCAATATGGGCAGCTTGGATCATAGAGACGTCGTTAGCTCCGTCGCCAATGGCGAGTAGAATCTCCGGCGAGAATTTCTTGACCATCTTCACCACCAAAGCCTTCTGCAGCGGCGAGACACGGCAGCAAATAACCGCCTTGCACATCACCGCAAGATCGTAGAAAATCCTCTCCATCTCTGGTTCCAGGGCAAATGTAAGAGACTTGCCATCGATAACAAGAGCTAGCGTATCTATTTCGACTGATCCATCCGCATTGTTCCGGATGGCATCCAATTTCTTTTGGATGTTATCGCGAGTCGCTACGGAATTCTCCTCGTTGACGATCAGTAGCATCATATCTTCGCTTAGTAGCTTAGAGCTCATGCCGATGTTGATGGCCGTCTCCTGTCGATCTCCAGTCAAGACCCAGACCTTGATGTTCGCCTGCTGTAGAGTGTGAATAGTCTCGGGCACACCATCTTGAAGACGATCTTCGATGGCAGTCGCTCCTAGCAGGTAGAAGCTATGCTCGATGATCTCAGCCGCTTTATCCAGCTCCTCGGCTCGGTTACCGCCCACAGTAGTCTGTGCCTTGTCGAATATTTTGTACCATTCCCGGAATTCCTGGTCGGGAATCTCACGCATTGCCAAGCAGAGGGTACGAAGACCCTCGGAAGCGTACTCCTCTAGGTGTATCAGAGTCGCGTCAACATGTGGGTTGCCCTCACTAAGGCGCTCCAGGATGACAGTGTCTGCACCTTTGCAGTATAATCGAATCTTTCCATCTGGACATCGGTATATGGCCGACATTCGTTTCCTCGTAGAGTTGAATTCACAGACGCACAGGAGCTCATATTCATACTCCTTGCCTTCGACTTCGATAATAACTGATCGGGGTTTGCGAGCAATGAAGGTGTACCCTAGGGTCAAAGCACCTTCGACCAATGCGCCCTCGTCAGGCGACGCAGCCTGATACTTAATCTTACCATCCTTATTCTCGTCTCGCTCCGGAATTACGGTATGGCAGGTTGAGAGAAGGGCTAAGAAATGGTGCATGGCCTCGGCACTCTCGTGTGTTTTCAAGTTCTCATGTAATCGCTTAAAATCGTGGATCCCAACTTCCACACCGTCTTGTACCGTAGCCCTTCGATCCTCTGGCACTTCGTCGGCGTATTGTATCCCGCTGATGGAACATTGCTTGAACTCCATCATGTTGCAAGTCAAAGTGCCCGTCTTGTCCGAGAAGACAAAACCAACCATGCCTAGTTCTTCGACTAAACTTGACGTTCGGCAGTTTGCGGGAGTATCCGTCTTGTCGTAATAGATATCGAGGTCATCGTTGATCAGAATGCCGTGCCAGTACTTGACCATCTCGACAGTCACGAATAACGAGATGGGAACCAAGGAAGAAAACAAGACCCAGTAGGTGACGAGGTCTTTGAATATCGCTTGGACCACTTCACCAGCGGAATCAAGGGTGTCCAATTCTAGGTAAGCAATCGAGTCTGCTCGCACTGAACGGTATACCAGCTCTCCAACGGTACACACAACGCTGAGTACAAGGAGTATGCCAATCAGCGCGAGAACCAGCATGTTGAGTTGACGTTCGACTTTAGTACGCTTGATCGGGGTCGCCGTAGCGTTGCGCATGAGCTTCGTCTCGTGTCCTGTGAAGACCACTATACCATGGACCCAGGGGGTATTTCGGAGAGTAGCACCTCGTAATAAAAGCTGGTCCGGGTTGAGAGAAAGCTCCTTTTCTCCGCCACCAGCTTGCATAGTCAGTGTAGCCTCATACGTATATAAGCTGCTGTTCGGTTGCTCGGAACGGATTCTACCCCCTAGCCTGCTTAGTTCTGATGGACTGACCAGGGCGGCAGTCTCCGGCAAGCCTTGCTTGATCTTCAGATTAGTTTCGCCATCAAGGTTGGCAGTTTCGATATAACATAATCCCTCTGGTTCGGAACTTGCAAGTAAGACGATGTCGGCCGGGAAAGGCTCCTCTGATTCAACTCGAACGATATCTCCTACGGCCACGTTGATCCATTTCGTCTCTTCAAAAGTCGACCCTCGCAAGACCCTAGCTTTCGAGTTGTTGAGCGAACTATCGGCTTGCTTCCTTCGATGGTCCTCCACTAGTTCCTTGCCTGCAGATACCAACAGCACAACGGCAAGGGGACCAATAGTAGTGTAACGATTCGTAGGAGACAAATTCGGTATTTGTTGAAGCGCCGCGGTGAACAAGAAGAAGACGTTGGCGAATTTGGAGAACTGTTCGATCAGGAACTTAGGGAGGAATGTTGCGACGTTGTATTTGGCAGTAGAAACGTGGTTGTCGACGTATTTGTTCACGGCATTTGCCGGCGGGTTGTTTAGATGGATGATCCGGGGACCGAGAGTTGAGGGATCCGGTTTGCCACTGCCAAATCCGAATCTGAAGTTCTTCAACTCGAACTTCTTATTTTGCTTCGGTTGTTGCTCAATACCCGAATCGGTCCGCCCATGTCCCGGCTCCGTCAAGGGTAAATCCATCTCTGAATAGCCCTTCTGTCCCATTCCAAGCATGTTCTTCGCTCTTCCAAAGAAACCTCCTCCCAACCCGAGCACACTGTTGCGGTTCCGCGCATTAGCACGGCCTGACGTCGAGTCTCCTGATGCGTTCAGCGTTCCTCCGTGCTGGTAGTAAGATTGACCATCGTCGGGGTAATCGTCGAGGGAATCCGCATATCTAGAGTAGTTATGCAAATCCGAGGTTTGACTATACTGTCTGTCGGAATCTACTAGGTAGGGTGCTCGAGGACCTGAAGCGCCGGCGCCTGGTGCAGGGTTCTTAACAGCGGGATCGGTTGTTTGGCTGGTTTGTCTAGGACCGCCAACGAAGTCGTCGTAGCTTTCGGATTGTCGGGGTTGAGGTCCATAATTTGCAGGAGGCCTTTGTCCACCGTAGGAAGAATGGTCGTCGAGGTCGAGTAGAAGATCATTATTTCTGGAGCTGGAGGATCCTCCAGGAGGCACCCTGCCAGCCATATCGCGAAGGGATGGAGGGATGGAGGGATGGGAGGTTACAAAGGGAGCGGACGTCGAGGCATACGGGCGCGAGAAAACGAGCTATCGCGATAATCCACTTCAAGTTCAGATTTGCATATAGTCGTTGGAATTACTAAGTCTCGGTGCACAATAAGCACGAAGATGGGTTCGCAGTTGGATCTGGTTCTATTAGAATGGTATAAGGAGTCGTCACTAGCGTGCTTGTTTTATTATGCAGGAAGAACGGGGCATAATACGAGATGGCTAAGCTCGTAGAGGATGAGAATTGAAGACGTTAAATAATAGACCGATGAAACCCGGGGCGGCGATGAATGAAAAGATGTCGCAATAATGTGGAAAAAAGAGAGATGTTGCTGACGGGTTGGAATTGTTTCGTGGTTTA